AGATAGATAGATAGATAGATAGATAGATAGATAGATAGATAGATAAATTAAAAGCCAGGATATCAAAATATCAGCAATTTTTAGCTTAAAGTTCTTCCTCCAGTAACTAAGCTTTAGGAAGTCAGTTCAGCTTTTAGAATGGGGAAAAACTCTGTGTGGCAGCTGAGAAACTACCAAACACTTGGCTGCTGGAAGAAAGTAGGTAGGGCTTGAGGGATACCTATCCAAGGAAGCTTGCAGGGCCAGATTTTCCTCTTAAACAGTCAGTTGGGCAGTATTGAAGGAAGATGGAGCACTGTGCTAAGTGGACATTTGGTCTAGGAGCTTCAGTTTCTATTTAGTTTTATTTTTTGCAGGATGCAAATTCTGTGATTTTTTTTTTAAGTCTTGGATTTGGCTGGGTTTCCCCAAACCCTCTCCTTCACATTCGGAGAAAAGAAGAAGGATTGCCAAATGGTTGAAAGGAAAGTTGCCAAAGATAACAGCAGAAGACCAACCTTCCCTCCCTCGCCACTCTCTAAAATGAGCGCATTTAAGACAAAAGCATATGGGCATATGCTAACCCACTCTGTCACTGTGAGCAGTGCATCTGCAGCTAGCTGTCAGCGCAGAATGTACCGTGTACAAGAGGAACTGTTTGCTTCTCATGGGCCCGGCCTAATGTCCCATGAGTAAAATAGGCCCGAATGGCAAGGGTCCATAAAGCAGGGAGGCAACCAGAAATATAAGATGCTGGTGATCTACTATAGGACAGCGGGAAGCAGCAGTGAAGAGAACAAGACCCCCTGTGGGAAGGTGCCTGCTGTTGAGAAGTGGCAGGAGAGGTGGCTTTTGAGATGTTAGCATGCACCAAAAGCAGATTGTCCTCTGCCTGCTTTCCAGAGGGCTAGAACTTGGCTTCTTTCTTTCAATGTGGAAGCTTCAATTTTCATATTGTTGATTTCTGTTCTGTGTGGCAGTTTCTGCAACTGGGTGGTGTCACTCTCTTGGAAGAGTCTATGCTTTTTATTTGGAGGTCAGGCCAGCCTGAACAAATGAACAACATGCAAAAGAGTCAAGTGCCAGGTGATGGGAAGAAGGTCTTTTTGCTGGGACTGCACAGCCCGAGTTCCTGTCAAAGCAGCTTCTTCCACTGATCATCCTCTACCTTGTCCTAAGGATTCTGTTCACATTTAACTGGGACTAGGTTTAGAAAGACCCAGTCTTTCTGAGAAGGAGTACTTCAGGGTACTCTGCAAGCACTCCTTCCATGAATGAAAGAGGTCCTTCTCTTCACAGAAAGCTTCAAACCAGTGGTGGATCTTATGGCAGAAGACAGGGAGGTGACTTTTGGCAGTTCTCTCTCTTCCCCCTTCCTATTCCAAAAGGGCCCTCGGCCCTCTGGAACAGACCTTTGAGGGTGCAAAGGGCAACGGGAGGGAATCAGCAAAAGCCACCTCTCCATTCCTCTTCCAGGGAGTGTGTCATGCCAGTTGTGGAACACTCTTTCTGGGAGAAGGGAAATCAGAAGCCAAGCTTTAGGGTAACATCCAGTGCCCACCACGGCTAATGCAGTGGCTTAAACGAGCCTTGCCCAATTTGGACTGCAAATCCCCAAATCCCCATCCAGCAGGGCCACTGATTTGGAACTCTGGGTGTTGCAGTCCAAACGTGTCTGGAAAGCACACGATTGGGGAAGGCTGTCTTAAACTCTCTCTAGCACAATCTAGTCGTACTCACAGGCATGATGGATTCCTGAGAAATCTCACTATGCCAGCAAGAACTGTTCTATTGCACGAAAGATCATTCGTGCTAGTGCACATTATTTATGAAGTTTTTATGTATAAAAAACAGGCTACATTACACAAAGGTTAAGCATATCAGTTGCATTTAAATCATAGGGCACTTATACACTCATGCATTAAGTGGCTGTAAAGAAACATGTTACTGCCAGTAGAAATAGTTATGCACAATTTTCACCAAAGGTCCCTATATTTATCCATGCCTTGGAGGTGTCCAAATTCCACCCATTCATTTACCAAGGCTCCTTTTATGTTGCTGCTAGTGGGGCTTTGGATTCTCCTGGACTGCCCGTTATCTTTACTGTCAGCCTTGCATCTGATAAACATGGAGGGCAATAAGGTCACATGCTGCTTTTGTTTTTGTTTTAGTTGAAACGCCTACGGAGGTGGCATCGGATCATATGCTTTGCCCAGCACCGGTTCTCCATGAAGTTGGCCAGTAAGTATTTAGCCCAGTAGTGAATTAATGCTTCAGTAAGCCCACCCATGACCTGGTTTGGACAATCATCATAGGCTAAACAAACAGGGTGTTTAGCATACACTAAGCATGAGGGTTTGCTTAAGTTGCGGCATCTGCAGCTGCATGCTGGACACTAACTGCTTCCATGACAATCCACCCAACGGTGGCTTGTTGTGTGGCCTGAACCTGCAGGGAAAACAACCTCCCAGGAACCCATGGGCTTGTTTCCTGTTCAAATTAGCTGTGCTGCTTGGGTTCTGACAACAGGTCAAGCTGCAGCCTTGTGGATGAAGGTGGAGATCGCACCCAGCACATGCATGGCTAAAATAAGCCATCACGGTGTGTTTAGCCTTTGATAACTGGGCACACACAGCCCTGTGTGACTGGCCAGCCAAGCCACGCTCCCTTCTCTGGTATGAGAATTTTCTAAAGGTGAATAATTTTTCCAATCAAACAGGATTGTGTCATTTATTATATCCCAGTGCAGCAGGGAGTTGAATTACCTTGCCTTCAGAGTGGCGTGAAACCTGGGAACCCAGAAACAAAGAGAAGAAATGTTCCTTTCATCCTGTTCCCTTGGGGGCTACCTCCATTCACACTTTCCTTTTCCAGTGGTGGGGGGGGGGAATCACGGTGAAAATAACTTTGATGAACCATTTTCTTTTTTGGAATGAGCGAAATCCTTTTCAAAACAAGGTTTTAGTTACTCACAATCTGTAGTATTAAGATTTGTTCATACAGCATTATAGAAGGGAAATTCCTGGGTATTCTGTAGAATTCAATAAGTTCAATGCTAGTTCAAATTTAAAACTTGATATCTAGTTACTAGCCTGTAGTTGTTATTAGTTATGCTATTGGTCTATTGCTGCCATGAGTGTTTCTGGGCTACAGGATATGCACATTTTTATCTTCTGCATTTGTGTCTTCTGGTTTGAACTCTTCCCACGGCAACCGTTTTTCAGATGGTAACGTGCTTTAGTTTCCTGTTTCAGTATATCTCTTTAATTTAAGCTTCTGTGCACCACTTTAATATTGGGTATATTCACCGCTTTGCTTGTACAAACCTCAGTCTGAAACCTCCGGCATCGTTTCCTAGAAGTAAGCTCCACCGAACATAGCGGGACTTACTTGAGTAACACGATTGGGGTTGTCATATGTACACCCTAGTTCACATTAGTGTACGTACCTCAGCATAAGTTTGGGTCATACTTCTGAATAAACCTGCACGGGATATTTCTTGATAAGCTGCACTGGGAGACTTTTTGTCCTGAAAGGTGCCCTAGGTTTCTTGTTTTAATTGCTCTCTAAATTACTTCAGTACACCAAATAGTGCAATTAGATGAGCTGACTAAGCTATAAATCATGCATTTTATGTAGTTAAAGCAGTAAAATAAGTTTAGGTGTGATTAGAAAGTATCATTTATATTTCAGTCTCCCATTCCAATTTCTGTTCCCCATACTAGCTTCCAGATTTCTAGAGATATAAGATTGATTCTTGGGGAGATAGCATTTCTCCCTTCTGCTGACAGGACCAGGTCTGTATTTCACATGGGGGTGTGTCTCTAAGAATGGGAAATGTTTGCTCATTCTCCCTGAGGAAGGGTGACCTTTTGGGGTGAAAGTGTGAGGTGTACCTTTTTAAAGACAGATGTGGAAAAGAGCTGGGCATGTGTGGCTAGGCTAGACCCTGTCTTTTCTCTCTCTCTCTCTCTCTCTCTCTCTCTCTCTCTCTCTCTCTCTCTCTCTCCCTCCCTCCCTCCCTCCCTCCCTCCCTCCCTCCCACCCCCACATCACACACCCTCTCCCCTTTCTGCTATTGCTCTAAGGAAATTCACCGTATCTGAAATGAGCTTCAAATAGTCAAGTGTGACCAAACAAATTTTGATGACACCTTAAAAATAAATCCACAGCCAGTGCTTTTAACTTTGAAAACAGACCAGCTTGTCATAAAGTTGTAACTGGATAAAAATAGAGCACATAAGATGTTTTCTTTTGGATGATGTTTGGGTTCGTGGTTAAAAAAAGTCTTACATTATCATTGTCTCTTGCAAGCTTTTATTAAAATTGTGCGTCACAATGTGTGTTGCCATACAAGAGGCAACAATAAAGTAAGGCACTCGCTGAATACCCACAGCACAATCTTAGCAGTGCTTTCATGAAAATGCTCTTGGGCCTTATTCTAAGTGTCACTAGCCTGGGCTGAAGATCAAATCTGTTGCCTTAAAAGCTAATTCTTCTTTCCACGTTCAGACATGCTTGGGGCCTTGAGGATCATTTTTGCTTAGGCTTAATTTCTTGCATACTTAGGGAGACTTTCCTGCTCCTTAATGCTATTCAAGCTGCTAGGAAGAAGGGCCTATATGGTACCAGTGGGAAACTGCACTGGCTGCAGAGTTACCAATCCATTGCAGGAGAAGAGTATTTCCAGAATAAAGAGCTCTCTAAGATGATCCACACAGTTTTCTTAGGGTCCAGCTCCAGGACACACTCTGGAAACCCTTCCCCTGAAAAGAGCTTCAGGAGAAGGCAGTTTGGATCGGCAAAGGGACAGGTGGAGGAAAGGGTTAAACATTCTTCTCCCCTTCTTCTCCTTGTGTATGCATGCACATGGGGGTTGCTCCTGTTCCCTCTTTAAGAAAAAGAAGAGCTGCTATGGTTTGATTGTATGCAACTCTTTGCCTCTGTCATGTCTCTGTTCCTGGGAAGGTGGCACCCGGCCCAGTGACTGGCATTTGGGAAGCATACTTAGTCCCATTTGGGAGCCTCTGAGAACAGCCATGCAGTTGGGCCCCCAAGTCCCGTTGAAGCATAAACACAAGTGGGAGGCTTCCCTTGGTCACGTCCTCCTCACCCCTTGCTGTTACAGTCTGAGAGGTAAAACAGATGAGCAGAAACCCATGAGCCTGTATTTGGAAGGTGAGCATGTGTGCTTTGATGCCATTATTCAAAGGGATCAGAGATCGGAATGCTGCGCATCAGCATCGGCCATGTGAGAGCAGTGCACCCCGAGCATTTACGCGCAGGGAGCTGTGTGGGTGTGTGAGCGCTCAGGCCTCATTGGATCTTCCTCGTTGGAGTAGGAAATGCTTCCGCCCAGCTATAAAGGCATCACACAGGAGCTCATCCGCCTGAGTTCCAAGATGATCACCACACGCAACCTGCCAAATGAGCACACAATGTGCTGAATTTTTATGGTTGCGTGTCTTGTAAGCCTTGGTGCAAATTATCAGAACATGTTGTATTTTTATTGTGTTGGGATGTGACGGTTGGGCTGCAAAGTGTCGCTGCAGTCGGCACAGCACCAAGTCATAAAGGCACGGCATGGGAAGGACTTGATAGCCAGGCAGTTCTTTTTGGGTAGTTGTACTTATAGAATGCAGCCTCCAAGGCCCATTCAGTCATGTATGGATGCCACTTAGTGGCAGAATTTATTCTGGAATGTTTGATAGATTTTAGAAATGTTGCCGTTTAGGAGGGACGTAGGAAATCGCAAAGAGTTTTGGCCTAGACAGCACGCAGCGAATTAGAAAGCTGACAACTCTGAACGCAAATATACATATTTGAACTTCTGACTTTCCGTTGGCACAGCCTATACTGTTGTTGGAGATCTCCCAATAATCCTTCTCATAGTGAGTGAACTTGAGTTGCTAACTCAGTAGCAATCTGCAAATGGCTTCTTTCTCCTTCTCCTGCCCCACTGCCCATCTCCACGGGATGTGAGTATGGTGAAGATTAAGTTAAAATTATCAGCAAGTCACTTTTGACAGCCTCTAGTACTGTGAGAAATTTCCTAAGTCTGTGAAAGAGTGAGGCAGAAGCGCTTGCTCCTTATAAATGCAAATACACCAGCAAGGAAACGTAAACATGGTGGCAAGGAAAGAGGCTGAGCGACTGAAAATAAAGCGTGCAGCTGGCAAACCACTGGCTAGGACTGGATGCTCACCCCAGTCTTACATACCTATTGATGGTTCTTGTTCATGATGGAGAGTGATAAAATAGCATCTGTAGATTTATGCCTAGCAGCCCGTTGTACCATCAGCAAAGCCTGTAGGGCTTGAGCTACTCACAACAACGGCTGTGTAGTGGAATCATGGAGGTGCATCTCCCGATGCAGAATAAGCATTAACCTGTTGCAGCCGGCATCAGCAAAGCCTGTTCAACGCATTGCTCTTCTTCCTTACATTTCTCACAATTGCATTCATTTCCTCCTCCTCCTCCGTATTCTTTGGGTTGTCCTGGTCATAGGATAAGGGGAGGGAGATACACAGAACAGAGGAACCCTGCTGCCGGCCGCTGGAAAAATTCATCCACCTACCCTTTTGGCTTCTGAGACTTCATTCATTTGCTTTAAGGTGTTTTTCCGCCAGTCTGGTGCTGATACTGGCTGAGAACTTGCTGGGAAAAATGCTTTAAGGCAGTGGCTGTGTAGGAGGTAAGAGACCGGAAAGATTTCTTCCTCCTCTCCTGCAATTCCAGATAGGCAAAATAGACTACATCACCCATGTTCCCCTATGCTAGCCTGGGGATTGTGGGAGTTGTAGTCCAATATGTCTGGAGGGGCCTGCAGACAGGGAAAGCAGGCTTAGTGTTCAAAGTTAACCCATTGGACGCCTGGCTTAGCTAGCCATTTTGCCAAGGCCGTGGTTTCAAGGCAGGCCCGAGACTGTTCTCTGAGAAGACTGCAAAATGCACTCAGTCGGCCTGGCTGTTGAATCCTACCTCAGTGCTGGTGCTAGGACAGCATCCTCTGCCACAACTGAGGGCAGGAGGGAGGTTCACCAGTTTAAGGCAGACTTCACCTCTTGCTAGCCCTCTCCTCTCCCCAGTGCCTGCTGTCTGAGGCAGCTGCTTGCACCAATCGAACCTCAGTGCCAGCCCTGCCCAGCTGCTGTTGCCGCCCAAAGCTTCGCATGAGCATCTCAGCCGTCAGTGACGGCTCCGTTCAAGATCCACCGTTTATGGAATTAGTTGCTGGAAAG